AGCAGGAGGCCCAAAGCTTATCCAAGTACCTAAGCCTGTGGCACAGGCTTAAAGTAAACCAGCATATCTGGAAGTAAACCATGAGTATCCTTGAAGATCCTCTGCACTGCAATGCTGCCAGTGCCTCATATTACATGCAGGGAGTAACCAAAGCCATGGTCAGACCCTGCCACATGTAGAGGAACCTACATACAAATACTGGTGAAAACGTTATTGGATATTTGCTGTTTCCTTGATCTTGTGGGCTTCTCTTTTACTTAAAAACATGATACAAAACCCATTCCCATGTTTAGCTCTGCTGTCAGTACAGCTGATGTCATTGCAATAGCAGCCTGTACACTGACAGCTCTGTCTGGGAGCAACTCCTTTTTCCTGAGATATCCCTATTTTGGTGATATTCCATTGCTTCTGTTATTTGCAGTTACACGAGTGGTAAGGAAAAAACAGGTTCAGAAACTTGTGTTCCTATGGCAAGGAAATCCAGTACTCCTAGCTTACAAAACAGGGTATGAAATGCATATCAGAAATGTTTTCATTTTCCAGGCAGCAGGAGAAACCAGCAGCCAAACAGTTACCAGCTGTCCCGGCAGCAGAGCCCGAAAGTGTAGCCAAATGTGAGTTTGCATTTCCTTATGTATTTATTTCTCTATTTATTGCAACAGTTAATTAAAAATGGAATTTTTTGTCACTAATGCTTTCTAATTGAACAGAATGTATACAGTGACATGAGTTCATCATCAAGTGTGCAATCCCATTAAAATAGATACTGCCAACTTAAATAATCCCTCTCATGAAAAACCAAAAGCAGTTACATTCCCCCTGCACAGAGAAGATCTCCTGCTGTGGCTTTCAGTGTTTATGTCTGAAGGTTTCGGTTGAGATGCACAGAAACTGACCTTGGAGAACAGTAAATTGGCAAAGTCAAACCCTGGGAAGGTAGGAACTGCCAGAAGCAGGCTGATCAACAGTTTGCCTGATGAGGTTACTATTCCATGAATTCCCATAGGCTGTGGATGACTGAGCAGCCCTTTGTGTCCAGCTATGAAATCAAAGGTGTTTTGACCAAGAACAGACAAACTAGATTGCTAAACCAGGTGTATTTTCACAGGGGATGGCAGAGCACTGAGGCTTTGGTGGCACCAGGGATTTGAGATCCTCCGGAGCACGGAGCTATGGATGTTACCCCAAAAAGTCATTCTTTACTCACACAGATGTGTATATATTCACCACTGAGAAAACCTGCATTTTTTCTCATAACCCTCTGAAGTAGCTGAGCACTTGGGACCGCCCTTGTTAGACAGAAAATGCCCCAGACAGACTCCCAGGATGGAGCATGTCACCCAGGCATCCCGGCTCTCCCAGCCCAGCTCAGCCCTCCCTTGGCTCCCCAGGTCCAGGCTCACCCGGCACCATCTCCTACGCGCTGTCCCGGGAGCCCCCGGAGCCCGGGGGCCGGACGCTGCTGCCCCAGGCCCGTGCCAGGGCCGCCGGGCCCGCCGACGAGTCCCCCGGCATCACCTGCTGTGACTTCAGCCCCCGGGCTGCGCAGGCAAGGCAGGAGCTGCTGCCCCAGGCACCACTGGGCCTGTGCCCACCTCCCGGGGCAGCTGGGGCAGGGCGGCTCCCGCCCCTCCTCATGGTCCTTTTCCAACCAGGTGGTGAAGAACGAATTGTTGGAGAAATACTACAAGCACGGAGGGAAATTCCTCACCATGCTCCCGGATGGAACATCGCAGTTGTTGTATCCTTCATGGGGTTCATTTGCCTGTGTTAGTTCATGGTTGTAACTAGTTTTACCCGTGTCCTAGTCTGCTCTCTCACTAAATAACCTGCTCCCGGCTGCTCACACACACCTTCACATCCTGAAGAAAAGCAGGAGTGAAACCACTCAGCAAGCTCTTGGGCTGAAGGTTTTCAGCTCAGCCTGTGGCTTCAGGGAAGGACGGGCACTCCTGTCTAATACCCAGCTTAAGGAAAGTGGTAGCGCCTTGTTCCACCTGCTCCCAAGCTCTGGCCACCCATGGAAGGCGCTGCTGGTCACACTCAGCCCCATCCTTCCCCAGGGGAAAACCAGCACCATGTTTCCCAGCACCACGACACTGGTCTCTGTCCTGCAGGCAGGAGTCCCAAAGAGGTACATGGACAGACTGAAATCACCAGAGGAACTGAGAGCTGTTTGAAGAACTAGAACTGTGGCAGTTTCACCAAAGGACCCCACAGCTCTCAGGCTGCCTTTGCCCTTATTTAAGCCATAATATTTTATGTCACCCACATTATTTGTCCTTACTGTGGCTGACTTCTTTCTGACCTAGGAGGTATGAAAGTGTACTGGGGCTCTGCCACCAAAGCAGACGGGCTTCAGCCCAGTGCTCTGCCCTGCCCTCAGGCTGCCTTTGTCCCGGGGAAGCTGCCGCGGTGGCAAGTGGCAAAGAGCCATAAACATGTGTGCTCACAGTAGCAGCTCTTGAGGGAAGGAAACCCCAGTGAGACACAAAATCCCTGCTGGTTGGATACATTCAAGTCCAGCGTCTAAGGCAAGGGCCTCTTTTTTTCCTCCAGTTTGTTTGTTTTCTCTAGGAGAATAATACCTGCCCATTTTCCCTGCTCTAATCCAAGTTGAGTACTTTGATCACTTCACTTTGCTATCAATTGTAGGCCTTGTCCAAGAATGTATCTTTAAAATAAACTTGCTAAGCAGTCTGGGTTACTGGCTAGAAAACAACAAAAATGTATTCTGTATCTCTAACTGCTCTTTTGTCAGCAAATACAGAACACTGCAGTGTAGGAGCAAAGCCCTTGCAGCACCCCAGGCCAGCCTGGCAGCACAGGTGAGCTGGTAATACACCAATTTAAACAAAACACCAAAGCAGTGCTCTGAAATACTTAGAATGTAATAACAGACCAAGCAGGCAAAGAAAGCAGTTATGAACACCTTACCCGACGACAGCTACCCCTCTGGGAACCTGGCAATCATCGTTGTGCGAGAGAAGGACCATCTTGCTTGCATAGTGCAGGCAGACAAGGCGCGTGAGGCCGAAGTACAGGCGGTGTTCCTGTCCGACGGCAGCAGCACGTGCTACCACCCGCACGGAGGCGTCTGGTACGTCCACCTTGCTCAGAGCAGGATGGGTCTCCACTGTGCACCTTTGATTCCAAGGGTCATAAAGGGTATTTTTAACAGCATCCAAGTTAAAAGAGAAGTGGAGCAGCTCGTGGGCCCTGCTTTGGGTGCCTCCCGGGGAGGGAAGGCCCAGCTGGGTCCTGAGAGGGGGGCTAGACCCTGAACGAGCTGTGCCTCAGTCCTGTCCCTCTGGGCAAGGCGGGACATTGGCCATGGGAGCTGAGCTTTGATTTTCCTTTCTTTTAGGATAAACATGAATATTCGAGGTGGGCAGTATTTGGACCCAACAGGCAACAGGGTGAGAAGGTGGACATGGCCGAACAGCATCACGTCACCGGGACCCCACGTCCCGCTGAGCCCCATCTTCATCTCCCTGAACCGGCACGTGGGGGTCAGGATCCTGGGCCAGGACAAGATCACCGTTTCCTTCCTTGCCATGGGGCAACAGGCAAAATTCAACGTGGGAACCAAAGTGGAGGTATTTCTCAAGCACACAGGCAGCTCCACGCAAAGCCACTCCCCACAGAGGGAGTGGGGCGGCCAGGGGAGCTCCCATCCCTGGGGAAGCAGGCTCATCTCTCTGTGGGGGCCCCCGCCCGCTGTGCAGCCCCCCAGACCAGCAAACAGTGGCAGTGCACCTGTGCTGAGTCCCAGCAGACAGGGCCACACCTGCCCTGACTCTCTGCAAGGGGCTGCAGTGTGGGAAGCACGGCCAGATGGGTCCCTGGGGTCCCTGGCTGCATCCCCAAGGGTCGCCCTGGCTCTGTGGTGGGGAGCAGAGCCACAGTCCATGTGGGCAGGGTGTGTGGCAGCTCCCTTCCCCCACAGGCTCCATCCAGAGGGGGAGGTTTGCCCTGTCCCGTGCTGCTCTGGCTCTGCTGACACCCCTGCCCTCCACAGGTGGGCGAGATCAGCCGGCTGCTGCCCCCCGCACGGCCCGGGAAAGACGAGCTGCTGCTGCTCGCCCTCAGGGTGAGGATCCTGTGGCTCTTCGACAGACTGCGTGGATGCCTCAGCTTCCCTTCTAATGAGCAACGGGACAAAATTAAGCCTCAAGGATACCTTACCGGACTGACTTCAAAGATCTTGCAGCTTTGCACAACTTCTGACATAAGTGATGAGCTACACAGCTGGGTCAGGGCAACAGTAAATGCTCCAGTCTGAGCAGCCCGTGCGTCAGTGCCTCGCTCCCGAGCAACCCCTCTGCTGTCTCCTGGCAGAAACCAACCCAGGCTGAAAGTCATTTCAGCCTGTGGCTGTGGCAGAAAGACAAAAGCAAACAGAGCCCAGCTAAGTGACAGCCTGTGACAGGTGCACGGGGTTTGCTCAGGCCAGCAGCTGGGCCTGCTGCAGGTACCAGACACAGCTGGTCCCCAAAAAGCCCAGTTTGTCCCAGGCAGTCAAAGGTCACTGTCCTGGTGATGTCTGCAAGGATGCTGGGGACAGAGGCTGCTGGGTCAGCCTGCAAAGCAGGTGGGTGAGGAGCAGTCCCTGGCAGCAGCTCATGGGTGGTGGTGCCATGCCAAGGCTCTGCTGTACCAGGCACTGGTGCTTCCCTCCCAGGGTGGGTTGGGTGGCCATGGGAGCAGCATGGGTGATGTGGTGGGCACAGACTCCTCATGAACTAGGTGCTGCAGGCTGGCCCCCACCCCTGCTCCCAATGGTTTGGATGTTTGAAGCCAGGGGCTTCACCTGGCCCTTTGTCCTGCACCTGAGCAGCTTTGCAAGGTGGCTCCGGATGTCTTTGCTGTACAGGGCGTAGATGAGGGGGTTGATGAGTGAGTTGGTCTCACCCAACAGGAACAAGGCATCCTTGAGTGGGCCGGCCAGGCTGCAGGAGCTGCAGGCAGCCTGCACGATGCCCCCCACCAGGTAGGGGCCCCAGGAGAGGCTGAAGCCAACCAGGATGAGCAG